GTTGCGTGGGGTTGTTGTGGCCAAAGTGCTTAAGGCACTTCAGAGTTGGAAAATAGTGTCTGATTAGAAATCCACATTTTCTATCCACACTTCATCATGTAGAAATTTTTGCTTTCATAGAGAGTGATTTTCTCATTTACAGAAAGCATTGCAGTGGAAATTTATGGCCAGCTCTGCTCTTGAGTGCTGACCCTACCTCTACCATTGATTCACCTTGTGATGTGAGATTAGTGCCTTCCAGCTTCTAGAGGTCACAGCTCCCTTAGGATAAAACAGATACAACGGTAGTACTTTGAAGATTAGATAATATGTGTATGAAAGTTCTAGGATACCAAATGCTAAGAGCAAGCTTAGGAGGTTTAGCAGTCTTAAGATAAACCCTTTGTAAACTTTGTAGAAATCCTGGAGTCACACGGTCTTTCCATCATTTTGTTTGGACTGCAATAGCTGATGATTGTTATCTGTGATAGAGCTCCTGAGAAATATCATGGCTAAGTATCCTTTACCTGAAACCTCTTAATGGTGAATTAGGTCAAAAGGTTAATGACAGATCTACGTGCAACTTTTTGCTTTCCATTCATAGATATTTCAGCTAACCACTTTCAGCTTACAGATTTTATGACCTTCCTGCCCCTTGTTTTTCAGAACATTTGCACTCAATACTTAAGGAGATATTTTTAGCACCGTGCAGCTGTAGTGTGCAGTGCTGCAAAGGAACTTCCTGAATCAGAGATCAGCTACTCAGTAGCCCTGACATTAAATCAGATCAGCTTGGTAGCTGCTCTAAACTATGCTAATTGATTCTAGCCCACCAGGGGACTTCCTACCATGAAGAACAGTTAGGACACAAGAAAAAGCTTCGTAGTCCTAAAGTCACAAGGTGCAATGGGAGATGCTGGAAGGGCTTCAACATAGGGGAAAATGGGGTCAGAGACATTCAAATTACAACTTCTATGAAGCACCAGTGAAGCTGACTAACAAAGGACAATGGTGAATTGACCTGGGGAAAAAAACCCTCCCAATTTGTCTGAGAAAAGCTTTGACTACTCCATTTCTAGCCAACACCTAGAATGACAACAAATGTTGAAATGGTGTTTTCTCAATGAATAGCAAGTTTAGTTTTTGGTAATTTCTAATACAATTGCTGAAAATCCACAAATGGATAATGTGAAGAATATATAAACTTGCAATATGTTTTTTTTTAATTAAGCTTGTACTGCCTGTATATAGCATTATGAGCTTTACACTTTACTTGGAAGAGCTATAAACTTGCAGTATGTTTTTTTAAATTAAGCTTGTACTGCCTGTATATAGCATTATGAGGTTTACACTTTACTTGGAAGAGCTATGGAAAATGATATTCACTTACCTAAACACTTAAGGTTTAACTGAAATTTAGGCCACTCTTAATTTTTGCATCAAAGTATTAAGGAGAGCACAACATAATTTTAGGTAATATTGAAACCAACAGTCCTTAGCCAATAGTCTCTGTGACTTTAATTCAGAGCAAAATTTGGCCCTTTAGTATTCAGAGGGGTTTAGGAGGATTTAGAGACAGATATTAGTATTACCTTCAGGAGCCTGAAGTTCTTTCCATTTCTTCATCTAATCATTTTCTTTGCCTTTAGAGTAGTGCAAAAACTGTATCTCAGTTAAGACAAGATGAAAAAATCCTGCTGTGTGTTTATTCCAAGAAATGGAAAATTAGAAAAACAAGAAAAATTATGGGGAAGAACTGCAATGGAACAGTAGAAAAATATTCAAAATGCAATTGTAAGAAAATAAATTTTCTGAAGTACCTGGTATAGATTTGGATGGTTGTGGCTTTTCTGTTTATCTCCATCCCTTTAGGGAACTACTCTTCTCATTATATGCAACTCAAATAGCTGTTCTGAAAAAACATGTCTTAGAATTCTACATTTTCACTGTGGTTATGGCACTTACATTGTACTGCATCATATCACAGGGGTTTTTTTCTGATATTGTATGGTACATAATGAGATATAACTATATCACACAATGCAGCAATTAAAATGTAAAAAAGGATGTGCCTGTTTTTCTATCTCACCCTCCTAACCTTTTAGCAAGTAAGTAGCCACTTTTATGTTCCAGTAGCTGGTTAAAATTGAATAGCTTCCATCAAAAGTCATCACAGTTCACAATACTTGCATGTTTCTACCCATTTCAAACAAATCTGCATTTTATAGCCTCATTTGTGGTTGCATTCAGCAGTTTAATAGTAATCAGGAAATAAGTGAGAAGCCTTCCATGAATAAACAGCCTTCCAAAGAAAGTGCTGCATTCTTCTCACGTCCTTTAGAAGTAAAGGGAAAAAGTATTGAAAATTTCAAGTACTATATATCACCAGGAAGCCAGGTATATTCAAAATGCAAGTATGTCCCAAAATGAAAAAGTGAGCTGCCTGCTGATGCCAGTAGTTTGTAGATTCATTTCCCTCATTTCACTCTCAAAATTTGATTGTTTCTATCCAGTGTTACTCTCCTGTTTTACTGATGAGTATAATGTCAGACACTCTTTAGCAAATCAGCATCAGGTTGGCTATCTGAAGTCCAGATCAATATCACTGCTGCACCCCTAAAACGTGACATAAGAATGTTTCTGTGCAAAGGATTCATCTGATGTATGTATGTCCTGGTTTCGGCTGGGATAGAGTTAAATTTCTTCCTAGTGCTGTGGTTTGGTTTTAGTATGAGAAGAATGTTGATAACACACTGATGTTTTCAGTTGTTGCTAAGTACCCTGCTAGTCAAGGACAGCTCCCATGCCCTGCCAGGTGCACAAGATGGGAGGGAACATAGCTGGGACAGCTGGCCCAGCTGGCCAACAGGGTATTCCATACCATGTGACATCATGCTCAGTATATGAATGGTAGGCGTGTTCCAGGAAGTAGCGATCGCTACCTGGTTATCAGTCAGCGCGGGTGGTGAGCAATTGCATTGGGCATCACTCATTTTCTATATTCTATCATTATCATTATTATTATTTTCCCTTTTCTGTTCTATTAAACTGTCTTTATCTCAACCCACAAGTTTTTCTCACTCTTACCCTTCCAATTCTCCCCCCATCCCACTGGAGGGCAGGGGGGGGAGAGAGTGAGTGAGCGGCTGCGTGGTATTTGGCTGCCTGCCGGGTTAAACCACGACAATGTAGCACAAAATGAACTTTGTCAAATACGTTCCTTACAAAGAAAAGCCCAGCAGAAAGTACGAATATGTCACAGCAGTGCTATTTTCCCATAGTAAGGAAATAATATTTCCCATACTACCTATAGGTAGTAATTCTGAGATCTCTTACAGCTTTGTAATGATTTAATATGACTTAAAATTAATCGCAGTATTTGACTGTATAATGGGCATGGTTTTCTTTCATCAATGAATGCACTTCCTCTCAATTTCTGATAATCTGTGAGTCCCTGCAGTCAGTACCTTGTCACCAGTGTGACTGGTTACATGTGTGTGGCCATTACACATGCAAAGATAGCATCCACCCTGAACATGACAAATCCTTCTTAATGTTCTGCATGCAGCTGAAGCATATAACATGCCATATTCCCTGAGAACTCAATCTTTTGTCTTCATTAATAGGCATCTAATATCATGACACTGTTTCCAGGTACAATCCCTCCACTCATTAAGTCAGTTGTGCAAAGTGAAGAAGGGCTGGCAACCAACGAAGGGCTAAAGATGCTGGTGACCATTTCCTGTATCTTGGTTGGGGTCTTGCTGCTTTTTGTGATGCTGCTGGTCGTGCGGAGGAGGAGGAGGGAGCAGAGACTGAAGAGGCTGCGAGGTAAGATGAGACCTGTGGCCCTTATTTCTGCATATGCATACTCCCTGAACACGAAAGTACAAGTGGGGCTGCACGTGACCAAACTGTTAAATATCCAGTTGGTGTCTTTTTCCTGCAATACGTAACAGACATGAGGCAATAAAGCATATGTGTTTTCTACAGAAATTCCTTCTTTTTCATTTGGTAGTAAGTTTCTAAAAAAAGACTCTTGTATCCATTGCTATTATTTTGCATGGGGAAAGGAAAATAATTCTCATGTGTTGGTGTTTGTTTGTCTTCCTTTTTTTGTGGTTGTTTGTTGACCTTGTGAACGGTCTCGATAACCTAAAATCATATTTTCTTCAAAGGGTAAAATCAGATGTTCTGAAGATGGGGGGACTTGTTTTGCAGCAGATGCAAACCATGATTCCCAAATTATAAAATGAAAGTAGCCACATGTTAGCAGGCCAGAAAACACAGCCAGATATTCTCAGATTTGTTACCACATCTTTTTCCCTATGATGTGTTATAACAAAACTATTACAACACTTCATTGTTCACTGACCTTTCATTGTCGCTGATCTGAATCCTATTCAAATTCAGGTGTGTGCTATGTAAATAAGTTTTAGATCTGTGAATTCATTCAACTCTATCAATCTTCCAGTGAATACCCCTGGTTGAGCCACAGCCAGGTTTTTGTCCCTTGCAGTCTGCCACTTCTGCACTTGGCCCTGTAGGTTTTGCATTAGCACACAACAGCAGACCTTACACTGAACATATTTGGGAAAAAGCCTTTCGAATCCAACACTGACTAAATAGTAAAGTGATTTATCATCTGCAAAAATAAATCTAATCATTTCCAAGAGCCAACACATTGTTTAGTTATTTGTATTTTAATCAAAATAGGATCATGATCAATATTAAAACCAGGGCCAACCCTGTGTATTCCATCTCACCTGAGCATCTACTCGTCTCTCTTTTGGGTCTCATTTTGTCTTCTGTAACAATATTTTGGATGTTTTTGCAAAAAAAGACAGAGATACAGGGCTCTTAGGCATAGGCAAATTCATAGATCAAAGGGGACAACTAGCCTTATGGTTCATACACAGCTCTGGAAGTCAGGGCATCTGGATGCTTTAGCTTGTATAGCAACATTCTCATTTGAAATCTTTTAAGCCATTTACCTCTGTGCATTTTTTTTCATCAAAAGTGGCGGACTAAGGGTAAAGAAAGTGTTATCTTATCTTCTCAGAAATACTGTGGAATTCCATCCCGTAACGACTAGGATATTTTGAGCTCCTCAGCTCCAGGAAATGATAGCTGTGCACATCTAGTTTTTCATGGTTAATTTACAAGTAACCATAGATCCTTGAGTTACAGTCCCTTAAGGAAGGCTGGTGATGACTGGCCAGTATGGCTTTTGCATAACATAAGACTTTTCTGAATTATTTCCTGTCAGAATATAGGAATTTAGAAAAATATCTGATCTTCACTTAAACATAGGCAGTGACAAAGAATTCATCAGTACTTTTGAAAAAAGTCATCAATATTTAACTACCATTTCTGTAAAAGTTGCGTCTCACTTCTTATCTGAATTTGTCAAGCTATAGCTCGATATCCCAGCCATCTGGTCTTGTTATACTCCTGTCTGCTGTACAGGGACTGAAGTTCTTTTTTGTATCATATTTTCAGTCTCTGATGATGTTCCTTTTACATGGTGGTAACCAAGGAATTTCTTAATGTTTTCATTGGTAAATGAAACAGATGAATCTTCTTTAATTTTTCTCTGTAGTTTTCCCATTATTTATTCCCAGCATTTATTAATTTCAAGGCTTTTATCTGGTCCCTTTGCAATCTTTAGATAGCTTTGCTCATCTGCGTATGCTAGAAATTAACATAGTATTCCAGCAACAGACATATCAGCATCAGATTGAGAGGTAACAGCCTTTCTTCTTTCCCTTTATGGTCTTCTGTCTATATCTGCAAGGATCACCTTTTTGGGTACAGCATTATTCTAAGAGTTTGCATTTAACATCTTGTCCATTGAGATCATCTGACAATTCCCTGATTACAGTGCAGCAGAATAACATTCTCCATTGTATAGCTATGGCTTGTATTCTTGATTTAGACCTTATACTAATACAGATACATTGCTAACTTGTGGCCAGCCTACCTGATGATCCAGATTGTTATGCCTCAGTGACCTGGCATTTTCATTATATTTTAGCCACCTAATTCTTGCGTCATTTTCAAACTTTTATCAGATATTATTTCATTTACTCCAGACCACTGATAGAAGTGCGAACGGTGTGATGTCCCATGGTGCATGATGAAAAGAAATGCTAAACAATGATCCTCCTCTTAAACCTGTGTCTTGAATATGTTGAAACCCATGTAAAATGGCTGCTGTGTTAATTTTTTGCATCATGCTACTTTGTTATTAAAATATTTTGAGGTACCAGAACTTTGCTCTAGAGATATATAAATATAATATTTTAATGTTATTTAATCATATCTCAGTTAAAGTTTTTTCAACGTCATCAGTTCTCAGTGCATTTTAATCTCATTTTTAAAAAATCAACTTTCTTTGACATGACTGATTGACCACAAGCCTATATTGATTGGCCTCAATTATTCCATCTCCTTTAATTCATTTCGTTAAGCTTCATTCCATTTTTTTCATCATTTTGCTCATTGCTGAGACCAGATTGATAGGACTTCAGTAATTCAGATTTTTTTTCTTCATTCTTTTTGAAGACTGATCCTGTGCTAGCCATTTTCTGCTCTTCTGGAGGTTACTTCATGATCTAAAAGTCTTATTGACAATCAGTATTGCCATTCCAGAGAACTCCTTAGTAAGTTCTCTAAAAAAAACCTGTGTGCAAGTTTTTCTGATCTCCTACCTAAAAAAAATATTTTGCTCTAGTAGTTGTTCCGTTCAACTTTCATCTGAATTAGTTTTGAAATTGAAATCCTGTCATTATCACTTGTTATGTATCACCTGGTGGGGTTTCTTTGAGGCACAGGACTCATTTTTCCGAAATCATGATTCCACCACTGACTTTCCTCTAGTCTACATCAGAAAGAATAGTTTCCACAGTGGGACCTTCTGAAAGAATTTATACAAGTTACAAACATAACTCTTGCTTTTGCGGCTCCAGGAGATGTGTTTTCTTTGAACCTGCTTGACAAAGAAGAGTGGGAATTGCAGATTTATTTGCAGTACCTTCTGCATGCAAACATTTGTACCTGTGCTTATAGACAATGGGTTTGTGGTTCCAGTTTCTGTGGGGTAAAATGTAGCATAAGAACATCAGTCTCTCCATTCTTAATCTTTTTACTCCTTGTTTTAGCATGTAGTGACAGGTAAACCTTTGTCTTCCTCCTGTGTCACGCCCAGTATGATTTATTTCTCCAGGAGTACTCTGCAGTTTTCAGCAAAGCCATGATTTTTGCCCAGTTTAGTAGTTCAACAGGTCAGGTCACAAGAAGGTCAATTGACTGCTGGAGTTCATGCAGCCATTCAGTAGGTCAGCATGTATTATAATATAGAAACCTGATGACTTGCCACTCTTTCTCCTTACTATTAACCTAGCTCCACTGCTACTGTAATAGTTTTCCCTTTGTTTCTAAGTCCAGCTCACCTTAATCCAAGCAGAAAGTATCAGCACGGCATGATAGTTCAGAAGTGGCAGCATGCAATTTAAAACTGTATCATGGCCCCTGATTTCCCAGGGGGCAAGCCAAATGTGTTAAGAATTTTAAAGGCGGCTGCCCTAGCAAATGGAAGTGAGGGCTGTCGCTGGGTCGGTGCCTGTCAATGCAGTCACGGGCGTCAAACCCATGATGAGAAGCAGTTTGCCTTTTTCATTAAGGCACGGGGTGATGCTTGGCTGGAGTGGGAGATCACCCCCTTCACTCTGTCATTCATGGGCTCCCTGAGCCCTGTTTTCCCCACCTGAAAGCTGGGAGGTAGGACACTGGCAGGGTTACTGACTCGTTTTATGAAGTATTCTTATTACACATTACAATCTGTAGTCTCTTCTCATTTGTTTGTGAACCTAGCTTTTCTCCTGTATCTGATGTTTTGGACACACTGTTATCACGTTCAGTTGCTTTTAGGCTTCTGGGTTTTGCTTTGGCAGATACATAAGATCCCGTATCTTCTTGGGACATTTGTTTTGGTCCAGTCCTACACTAACCTGTGTGCCCAGTACAGCCGTCATTAACTACAGTAACACTACCGACCATCGTAACAATCTGCTTGAATAATTAGTACATTTAAACCCTGCTGATGAAGTTACTTTTTTTTCTGCAGTACTTCCTCATTCAGCTTTTGATATGTAACATGATCTTGCATGATGCCTCATGTTATTTTTGACTGAAGATGCACAATCTCCTTTGCATCTCTTTGCGCAAGAATGCCTATATGTTAATGAGCATTTGAATATGTGCCACATACATTTAACGGTGAGAACATAACATTTTTTCCAGATGCAGCATGGAACACAGCTATATGCTGTGCAGTATCTGAGAACATGTGAGGGAGGTTGTTTGTCATTTAATCCTGGTAAACAAATCTAAAAAGCAAACTGAACAACATTGGGCCAAGCAACCTTCAACTTTGTCCCTTCAGCTTTTCTTGAGTTGTGAATTACTTGCACAAGTATCCATAGTCTTCACTTAAGGAGGCAGCAATTGCTTCACAAAAGCTGCTAGCTGAATGCAAACAATATTTGCACATTAAATCACCCTTATTATGTGTGCCAGGGGGAGAATGTGTGCATAGTCTATTCATGATCCTAGTGCTGCTAGAATAACAAGAAGCATCATAAAGTTTGCTGAAAAAAACATGATTTGGAACCAGAGCTTCTTTTTTTTTTGTGTGTTCTTCAAAAGAACTGGGTCCCTTCCTGGGTCATTAGAAGTCAGTAGCAAAACTATCTCTGATGGCATTTGGGAGCAGCAGCAGTGGTAGTTTTGTTTATGACTGATGATAAAGACGACGTCATCTACTATGTAGTACCACTTATAAGAGTGTTAACAGCAAAAGGCAATCCCAAACAAAGTGCAAAATAGAAAGTCTGAGTGCCTAAATGGAGCACTGTTTGGATTAGATGGGACATTTCAGATGAAGAGTCCTTCCCTTCACCAGGAATCTGCCATGTTTTGTGCTGAAAAGGAATAAGTGAAAGTTAAAAAGAAAGGAGTGGAGTAAACAGACCTAGAGGAAGCACAGAATTTCAGCTTCTCCAGTAGCAGGTGAGCAACGAAGCTTAAGACAGGCAAGCTGGCACAATGTCAGAGAAACAGAATGTAGAAAGTGGATGGAAGGGGTTTTGTTGAGGTTTTTTATGAATAAAAAGAGCCCTTTGTCCATTCCTTTTAAAAATGAATACAAATGTAGCCAGAGCAATGCATTAAGATGGTGGTTTGTTTCTGCCTGCATCCTCTGAATTTTAAAGGCAGGATATTTAATAGGATCACAAGCAAGGAAATTGTAGTAGGTGTAGGAGACCCAAGAGGTGATTAAGGAATAAAAAAGGGGAGATGGAGAAAACAAAGACAAATTCAGTAAATGGCAGGTGCTGGTACATTTACAAGCAGCAGATAAAAGAAGAAATTTAAAGTTTCACACAACAGGAGAGTTGCTTGAAGACTTAGAACTTGGAATTTTTTTCTTCTCAGATTTGCTTCGCTTGGTTGCACAAAGGCTGCTTTGTTGCTGTGTGATATATTTAAGGACTCTGGAGTCAGCATTTTTAAGTGAGTTTGTTTAGCAGCAGACTGCAGGAGAACAAAGCATAGCTGTCTATTGTTGCTGAATAATACTACGGAAATTATTATATTACATTGATAAAGTTTTACAGAAAGCTACCTGAAGAACACTGGGTGAACCAACTTTGATCTGATAAGTACCAGAATAATTATATCCCCAAAGGATTTTATGCTAATAAAACCAGCAATGACAACAACAGGAGGAATTTTTTTTTTTTTTTTTTTTTTTTTTGCAGGGCTGATCCATGTGGGAATAAGCCACCTGCTGTTTTGTAGGGCAGATCCATGCGGGAATAAGCCACCTCCTGTTTTGTAGGGCTGATCCATGTGGGAATAAGCCACCTCCTGTTTTGTATATAGACTGTTCTCTGAAGACCCAGTAGTAGTTTTAAATTACTGCTAGTGGAAAAGCATTCATACTTGAGAGCAACCAAACAAGTTGACTCCTTGGAGACCTCCCTTGCTCAGACCTCCATGCAGTCAGGTTTGGTTTGGAAATGGCAGGTTGGCAACTGCTCATCCAGCTTGGGTTTGGCTGCTGCCCAGAGACGGATGTCAACATTTCTGTCTTCTTGCCTTTTCTTCCTTCCTCACCTGTTCACTTGCTAACCATGGCAAGAAGGAACAGAGATGCCCATTATTTGTTAAACTGTTCCTACTTCTAATAAGATTCTACAGTTTTTTCTAGTTAAGCCAATGGTAGCTTGTACTTCTCTAAGCATCTTTGGTGCTACTGAGGAACTAAACAGGGCTGTCTGGGGCAGAAATACAGTTTCTGTCAAAGTAGGGACTTTTAGAGATTATTTTATTCTTGCCACTGATCTGAGAAACAACAGTGGTCTTACACATGGCTGATTCAAATCACTTCCTTCCTAATAATCCATCTATCAAATAGATTTTCATTGTGATGACATTTCTTCTATTTTCTTCTAGATGCAAAGAGTTTGGCTGAAATGCTTATGAGGTAAGAATAGATTTATTGCTTTTAAATTGAAAAATGTCTGTGAACTATGGCATCATATTTAAAAGTTATTATAGGGACAAACGGAGAAGTAAACCTTCTATTCCGAAATCCTTTTTCAAAATACACCATTTGACTGTTTGTTAAGAAGAACACATTGTTGATTAGAAATGGGAGAAAAAAGACAATTTGTGGACAGTATCTGTGAGGGAATGCAACGGTAAAAATCTGAGAACTCTTGTGTTAGTAGATTAAATTGTAGAAGCTATGTAGGTCCTTTTGGACATTTTTCCTACTCAGAAAAACATTTTCATAATATGTACCAAAGTAATTGCTCTTCAGAGATCATCTGATTGAAGGCAGTAAGTGCCTGGATGCAAATATCTCTAAACTTTACAGTTATATTTATGTAATTCACTATTGCTAGCTGCTTATACCTAAAGGTATAGAAGAGCAGGTAAATCCATTTATTATTTTTCAGTTCTGTTCCATCAGCTCAGCATCCTGAAATCTAATTCAGTTGTTGAATTGCAACAGAATTACTATTCTGGCACCACAATTCTTTCAAAGATGGAAATTTCATATCTTCAATGTTTATTGTTTTGTCTGGGGAAAATATTGAACTTTAAAACTGCTGCATATATTTGAAAATGGGATCACCAAGGGATTATTTTTAAGTTCAAATGAGTTTTGGTTTGCTAGAAAATCTTTGTATTTTTCAGCAACAAATTTGAGAATGTCATAGATATTTTACCAAATGAACCATACTTTAAACTTCCTCACCCGTGATAAACTTCATCTACTATTGTAAGAATATACTTACCAAAGACATGGTGACAGATGGTTTTAGTGTAAACTCAGCTCTATGCCATCAGTCTGCAAATACATCTGAATAGTCCTACTGATGTTAACAAGGCTGGTCATGCAGGTCAGGTCATACCCTTCCTATCTGCCAGTTAGAAACCCCTGCTAGCAGCAGATTGCAGGTTTAAGCAACTTCAGGAAGATATGCTCTGATATTTTTCGGTGTTGCAGAAAACAGCACAGATTAACATATGCAGCAAGTCTGTTCCCTAAAGAAACCCAACACAGACTGACTGAAACTCCTGGATGAAGATATTCAGTCCCAGTGACAACCACACATAACACCTCTGCAAAACTGGTAAACCTCTGCCTTAACCCTGGTTAGCTTCACTAGTCTTGTCACTACCTCTGCAAGGCCATTTCAGAGTCTCACTCCTCTGACACTTAGAAAACTAAACTGCCAACATAAGTGCCCAGTTTTGACCCATTTTTTCCTCTGCTGATGTTGACCTTTAATTTGAAGAGCTTCTTTTGCCGTCCCCGCCTGATGCACTCAGAGAGCAGTCAGGTTCCTTCCCAGCCTTTAGCTCAGAGCTGGTTTTCTAGGTAACTCATCTGCCACCATTTCTTTTTGCTTTTCCTTCCACCAGCATTAACATGTGATCGTCAAGTCAGTTTCTCCCACCTCACTTATTAACAAATAATCTTGGTTTTGTTAGTCATATTTTATATTTCTCTTCTGAAAGTGTGAACAAAGGCAACATTTGCAGACACGTCATAACTTGGAGCTCTCAAAGTGATGCTGTTTTGGGGAGCCTGCTTTCTACAGGCTAAACGTTCTGTCATTTCTGTGAAATACCTCCAACAGAAACCTGAGCTACCCACCATCACTAGATGTTCCTGTTAATAATCAAAGGATAATGAGCCTTCTCCAAAGCACTAGTCGCATATTAAAAAGCTCCTGATATTTTCTGTCTTTTAGATTTCACCAAAATCTGCTATGATACAAATATCAAGGAAGAGAGTATGCTGTGGGTTGTGTCTTGCTGTTTAAGTATTGGACAGAGACCAGAAAAGATGATTCCCTGCTTGGTAGGAAGGTGTGAGGGATGGAGAGAGCTTTGTGTATCTTTCCCTTCACAGAGGAGATTTTTATGAGTCTGTGTAAAGCAGATTAAGAATGGAGCTTTAGTCTTTGTTTTAAAAGATGCTGGCTTTGGCCGTGTAAGTCAAACGTCTGGGGAGCAGGATAAGCCCCAGAAGTTAGCAGTTTAATGAGATCTGCACAACTTGTTGCTGATACCTTAAATTCGCATATAAAAATCCCTGCTGCTATACAATCACAGCTCTTTTATACTTCTTTTGGATGAAAGCATCGGTCCAGCCAACTTCTTTGTAAGAGTTCACTGTGAATCAGTATAGCAATTGACTAAGTTTTCTAATTTTGAACACAAGGTAAGGAATCTTTTCTCCCTAAATGTTCCTCTGTCAGGCTGATTACTTATAAGATTTAGTTTTCCATATGTTTTTACAACAACCAGCTTAGACATCAGGAGGCTGTGAGGTGGCCTGACTCTCTGCCAAGGACCCAGAATGACTTTGGGTTTACACATATTTAATCTCTTTACATAATTAGCTTGATAGGTTTAACCCTCTCCTGTGCATAGAGATATTTTCACTCACTCAACTAAGTATTTTTTTATTAAAGATCCAGAAAGATTATTTTAAATGGGGTATTCTTTTAACTATGCACACTCTTAATACATTGTACTTCCTCTGGAAAAAGGCCCATTTATCCACAGACTGTACATAAAAGCTGTCAGACCCAAAGGCTCATGTACCCAAGTATCTGTCTTTCATAGTGGCCAAAAGCAGACACCTTGGTAGAGTAAAAGACTACAGCAAATGCATACTGACTCGTTCCCCAGACACGCTCCCAGTCTCTATCAATCTGGAGCTCAGAGCTTCATTGAACCAGAGGGAATGAATTGTATTATACACAGATCCTTACAAGGTCTGACAGGTAAAGAATAGCCATAGCACGTGTTTAAGTTTGGGATTTTATATCTGCAGGTTAAGGAAAATATAGGTAGATATGTTTCCTCCCTGTAAAGAATTAATCATTAGATTCTCATCCTCCAGACTGTTAAATACTCTAATGCCTGAATATTCCTAGCTTAGAAAATACTGGGGCACCAAACTTCAAAATTGCAATCCTAGAAATCTTTGCCTCACTGCCAAGTCCTAGAGGCACTTAATTGCTGTTGGCACTTTAGGTTTTTATAATCTGAAAGTTGAGCTATTGTGGTCTGCAGAAAATAATTCAAAATTCCTTGAGCCAGAAAAAGATGTCATGCTAATCAGCAGCAACTCTCTTGTTATTGCCAATTGCCTGTTCTGTGTTTGGACACTCCATGTCGCCATGCTGCTGCATACAGGAGAATTAATTAGACCAGTAAGGACGAGGAGAGAGATCACACAAAACAAGGCATAACTCTCGAGCATAGTAGGAATTTTCCTGAATATAGAGAGGCCTGGGTTCCAATTCTGGCTTGAAGGACCTTCCATGTATTTTGCATAAAGCTATGCCAGGAATGGGATTCAGAATTCTCTCTGGGCAGGTGAGCAATATGACCGCAAACCTGGGGAACTGCCCTCCTGCTCCTTGTGGTCCAAACAGTACTTTCTGTGTGGCTGAGTACTTTGCAATAGTAGGAATATAGAGCATTCGTACTGCAGAAGAGCTTCTAGCTCTCACTGGGATTCTGGGGTCTGCATTCTCTGAGGAAGATGTCTGATTTGATCCCTTTGTCTCCTGCATCCCTGGTGAGCGGAGAGGAGGGGTGCAATGATGCATTTATAAGACTCAATTATGTATTGCACAGGTTCTATATGTATCTGATTGCATGTATCCTATAACTATTGGATTATTGATTATTAATTGAAATTGGACCTCAGAAATTCAGTTTCCTACTTGATCACAGGTTTGCTCCATGATCTTGACAAGCCCAAAGTAGTCCAACTTTTCAAGGGCATGTATTCAAGCATATTGGGCATGCAGATAATATATTAGTCTCTGATTCTCTTACTTGAGTGCAAACCAATAGGAGAGTGGCATCTAATCCATGCAGAGACTTTGCAGAGACGTCGAGAACATCAGTGTGGAATTTATCTGCATTTAGGATCCTAAATGTCTTTGAAGATTTATGTGCTTAATAAGACACTGTGAGTACTATTCTCCACTCATTATATATGGAGAAAAGTCTGGCAGCCCTTGGGTAGCTCTTCTGATATTTTGCTTCCATAATGATTAAATGAGGCACCAGTTGTAGGTTGTCTGAATGCATTTCAGCTATCCATCTGAACATGATGGCAACAGTACCACCTAACCATCCAGGTAAAGACAGAGACGTTGAAGTTTGAGATGCATAGATAGTGTTAATGCTGGGGACCACAAGAACAGGGAAAGCCAGAAGGTGAGAATCAGCCAGAGGAGTGTACCTGTGTGCCTTGCGGATCTCGCTCTTGGAGTTGGAGCAGAATTACTGACCACATGACGAGGAAATTCCTCCTAAAAACGAGGACCGCCAAGCCTGCAATAGTTAGGTCTTGCTCACATGGAGACACAGCAGGAAGTTAAGGCAAATTGTCTAGGGATGTGGGCTCATCACACATGCATCCATCTCCTATGTAGAGGCCCGCACTCAAGGAAGAAGTGAGCTTATCATCAAGCAGCTTTAATAGTCCTCTGCTGATTCCATTAACAACAATAATTTATTGCCAAGGAGAATTAAACTGAGTGATCTACAGTTATTTCAGAATCATAGAATCATAGAATCATAGAACAGTTTGGATTGGAAGGGACCTTTAAAGGTCATCTAGTCCAACCCCCCTGCCGTGGGCAGGAACATCTTCAACTAGATCAGGTTGCTCAGAGCCCCGTCCAACCTGACCTTGAATGTTCCCAGGGATGGGGCATCTACCACCTCTCTGGGCAACCTGTGCCAGTGTTTCAGCACTCTCATTGTAAAAAATTTCCTTCTTATATCTAGTCTAAATCTACCCTCTTTTAGTTTAAAACCATTCCCCTTGTCCTGTCACAACAGACCCTGCTAAGAAGTTTGCTGCCATCTTTCTTATAAGCCCCCTTTAAGTACTGAAGGCTGCAATAAGGTCTCCCCGAAGCCTTGTCTTCTCCAGGCTGAATAACCTCAACTCTCTCAGCCTTTCTTCATAGGAGAGGCGTTCCATCCCCCTGATCATTTTCGTGGCCCTCCTCTGCACCCGCTCCAATAGGTCCATGTCTTTCCTGTGCTGAGGGCTCCAGAGCTGGATGCAGTACTCCAGGTGGGGTCTCACCAGAGCAGAGTAGAGGGGCAGAATCACCTCCCTCGACCAGCTGGTCACACTGCTTTTGATGCAGCCCAGGATACAGTTGGCCGCCTGGGTGGCGAGCGCACATTGTCAGCTCAGGTCCAGCTTTTCATCCACCAGTACCCCCAAGTCCTTCTTGACAAGGCTGCGCTCAATCCCTTCATTCCCCAGCCTGTATTGGTACTGTGGGTTGCCCCGACTCAGGTGCAGGACCTTGCACTTGGCCTTGTTGAATCTCATGAGGTTCTCATAGGCCCACTGCTCGAGCTTGTCCAGATCCCTCTGGATGGCATCCCGTCTCTCAGGCATGTCGACCACACCACTCAGCTTGATGTCGCCTGCAAACTTGCTGAGGGTGCACTCGATCCCACTGTCTATGTCATTGATGAAGATGCTAAACAGTACCGGTCCCAATATGGACACCTGAGGGACACCACTCGTCACCGATCTCCATCTGGACATTGAGGCATTGACCACTACCCTCTGGATGCGTCCATCCAACCAATTCCTCACCTACCAGACAGTCCACCCATCAAATCCGTATCTCTCCAGTTTAGAGAGAAGGATGTTGTGAGGGGGGACCATGTCAAAGGCCTTACAGAGGTCCAGCTAGATGACATCCGTAGCTCTTCCCGTGTCCACTGATGTAGTCACTCCATCATAGAAGGCCACTAGTTGGTCAGGCAGGACTTGCCCTTGGTGAAGCCATGCTGGCTGTCTCAAATCACCTCCCTGTCCTCCATGTGCCTTAGCAGAGCTTCCAGGAGGATCTGTTCCATGATCTTCCCAGGCACAGAGGTGAGACTGACTGGCCTGTAGTTCAACAGTTTTACACCAGAAAATGAGCCTGCACTTGCATTTTAAAGCTCTTTGAACTGTCAGCACTTGGATCACACTACTGGCTGATTTGTCCTAACTTTCCTCAACCTCCCTGTGTAAAGAAGTATTTGCAAATATTTCCTCTCCTCCAGAGAGTAATTACATCTAAAAGGGCAAAAAGTTCCTGGGTTTTTTGTGCAGTCTGAAGGTTTCTTGGTGCAAGCTCTGTACTAGAAATGATTGTAGCACTCAGTTTTATTATCCATTTTCATTTGCTTTCAGTAGACAGCTCATTTAAGAAGTAATTTTCTGGTACACAAACTTCAAAATGAAATTGTTTCAATTTGCATGATGATAGAATAATTGTTTTATGTTCTTTTTTAGAATATTGCATCAATCAATTAGAAATAATCCATGAATGTAAACAAGATTTGCAATTTTATTCTTGGAACATCAATGGGACTAAAACCTTTATTTACTTTATGCAATTTATTAATGGAATCCCTAGTTATTAATATGCTTTTTCATTTATCAATTCTAGTGATAATTGGAATTTATCTAATGAAAAATAACGAAAAGTTAAAAAAATAATTAGAAATTACTCAAGACATCATTTTCCTACCAACCTGTTTGATCAGCTGTGTGTTTCTTTACTCATATTCATGAGGAATGAAAGAAAAGGTCCACCTTGCAAAGTGTTTTTACTAATTTCGTTATATGACAACACTTGAAGAAAACTATATGAAATTTTCAGGAGATCCCTACTGATAAAGAATAGACCAAATCCCTCAACGCTGTGCGTTCATTTAACTGCTTGTCATGTGCAATAAATTAATACCATGCACTTGTTCTGAACAGGGGAAAATAATATGTATAAGTATTCTGCTGATTATGGTTATATTAATTTTTTTTTTGAGCTGGACAGATTTAAAATGAGGAAGTTTGCAAGTATCCTTTCATTTAGACTGAAATGTTAATGTATTCACTTCTCTTTTGTTTTTAGCAAGAACACCAGGACATCGGATACACTTAATAAGCAGCAGCAAACACTGAGGATGCACATAGACATTCCCAGAGCACAGCTTCTGATTGAGGAGAGGGACACGATGGAGACCATTGGTAAACTCTTGTTGGGCTTGTTTTCACTGGTTAATGTAACAGGCACTTTAGGTGAACCTCCTTTACCCTACACGTTTTCCCCACTGCACACATCAAGAAAAAAGAGCTACAAAGTAATTTGCCACATTTGAAAACTGAACTGATTTTTTTTTCTCCCCTTTGAATAATTTTCCACTTTAAGTAGTCGCAGTACAGTATTTAAAATAATGCAGGACATTAGGAAAATGAAGCTGATGGAAAGAGCCGCTTGAAGAAAATGTAAATGAAGAGTGGCAGATTTATGATTTTCGTTTTGATTTCTCTTTTGGCTTTGACTAGACAGTTGGTTCACTGGCATTACTTATAAGGAAAACGAAATTCTGAAACTACAATATCAGTATTTAAAGATTTGCAACAGCCAACTTCTAAAACTTACACTTTGCATATTGTATCCACCTGTCTATAGCAAATGATATTTCAACATTTTGATCAGTTTTCAGCTTTTGTGTATCTATGCAAAATTCAAATCTAAACTGTTTCACACAACAGAAAACAAGAATTCTCATGTGGCTGGCACATAGCTGAACTGTCATGAAAAACAGAATTGTTTGGTGCTGGGGTTTTTTTCCAAATAAACACAAGATGTCTGAAATCTCAATGGAATAAAAATGCAACCTGATCTTGTGACTGTATGGGTACACACTGTGGCAACGCTTTTGAGTTACAGTTGCTGAGCAATAAGGGGTTATAGTGGAAATACCGTTAGTGCCTTAACTGTAGCAATACGATCAGTGTCTTAGTAATAGCCAGCTCTCCACAAAGCACTCAGAATAAGCAGGCCCTTTGGCAGTCTTTGACATAGTTTACTGCCAAGAGGCTTTATTGCCAACCTGAATAAGAGCTCATCTTTTGCCAGAGATAGAGTAATTTGATTTCATAATGCTCATTCTATTTATGGCCTTCTTTGGGTAAAAAATGCTAGTTATGTTATTGTGCAGAACTCCTCGCCTTAATGGTGTCTTGTCAAGCTAAAAAAAACCCAAAAACCAGGAATGCTTAGAAGAAGCAGATCAACCTCTGCTGACTAGTAAATGCACGGAAGCCCCACTGCTGCCAGTCCCCTTAGAAATACATTACAAAGCTATATAGCATAGCATAGCATAGCAGGAACTTCTTGTGGCTTTTATTACTGTTAGGAATGGATAAAAAGACTGTAAAGAATACAAAAGAAAGTCTGACATCATGCAAATAATTGTCCTGCAAGCACAGAGACAGTGGAAGATTTATTGATGTTCAACCTTCTACGATGAAGTGGACCAGCTTCCTGTTTGGAGCAAAATAAATACAATACAGAGATCACAACTGGGGGAAAAAAAAAAAAAAGTGCTGTATAGCACTGGCTTTCTGCAGGGATCAACGTCTTTGTAGAAATTTGGTGCATATATCCTGCCCTATAAGGAAGCAATAGGCAGCAGAACCATACAACAGTAAAGGTCAGTGCTCACTTTTTTTTCTCAGTCCTTCCCAAGGCCAGGCTTCACCTCGCACCTTTCTTTGCAGCTGCAGGAGACCCCATAGTCAGCTGGACTGACTATGTTTTGAGAAACTTATACGGCTCACATAAAGCTCCCCAAAGCTTCTTTTTCAAACCTACAGTACTGAGGTTTGGTGCAGAGAGAGCTGGTAGGACTTAGCCCTTAGCTTCCAGAATGGCAAAACACTGGATGCTTAATAGTCTGTCTTAGTTGCACATCTCTAAGGTGAAATCATAAAGACAAACATGAAAATTACACTTATTCTTTAGTATGAACTTTGAGTTTAAACCCAGAAGCTCCCAAGCTGTGGTACACACTTCAGAGCCATCTTCAGCCCTGCAGAGAAGAGGGAGCTGCCACTGCCAGTGGTGGCACTCAGCTGAAAAGAAGTCTGGGGACTGGCTGTAAAGCTCTTCTGAAGGCAAACCCAAAATTCATTATTCGATATCTGTCTGATGGGTTTTTTTACTTGCAGATGACAGATCAACAGTTCTGCTCACCGATGCTGACTTTGGAGAGACGTCTAAGCAGAAGTCACTTACTGTCACCCACACAGTACATTACCAGTCTGTGTCACAAGCTACGGGACCACTGGTGGATGTTTCTGATGCCCGGCCAGGAACAAGTAAGCATATAAGAGAATACGTTGTCTGGAGAGGAGAAAGCTATAAGAAAATGAATACTGTGCTCCTGCATTTGTATCCTCATGAAGTTTTTTCTTTAATCTGAAACTTGAGGGAAATCTATTTAGGTCAGCAAAGAACATTTCTTATACAATTACATTTAGTGATTCAATATGGTAAAAATTGCATATGCATCTGAAATGTAGGTGTAATTTTAAATAATTCATACCTGGCTTTCATTAAACCAAATGCATGCTAGATATTAATTTCTAGAATTTATTGAGTAAATTAGCGTAATGGCTTTTAGTGTCTAATATATTCTTTCTCGGTGATCAATCTTTATTGTATTTCAAAATACGTCTTCCCTCCTTACCTCTCCATCAGGCAAGAAATACATTTCTCATTATTGCTTTTCTGAAAAAGTTGTATTTCCAGTTTTAGTTATTATGGTAAATTACTTTTCTAGGTATATTCATGTTGAGTTATTCTTATAGCGATTAAAATACTATCATAAATTAATATACTGCTGCAATCCATTCTTCTTAATTTCTCTCATGAATGTGTTCCGTATCTATGTAAATGGAAAATAAAATCACTAGATTGAAGGAATACTTATGAGTTAGGAATATTATCAAAGTGTAGTTCACTAGCAGTGTGCATTTTCTAAAATCTCTTGGATTATTTCTATCCCTTGATCATTTCAGAATTTGTTTACTTGGAGAGTTTGGTGAACATAAATGCTGAAAGCTTAGTTGTGCATCATTTAAAATGCAGATTATTTGAAAAAACTTCATTTCATCTTCATTTCCACCCCAGTCTTTATAAATGATAGTTGTTCTAGTCCTGACCTTGCTGCTTTTCTAACTCTGTCAGAGTTAAGCTATGGCTAGTTATTTCTTGAAGACTAGATTAGAACCACCATTTTTCATCTGTGGAGAGCCATGACATTTGAGTTAGAAAAGTCAAGATATGACATCTGTTTTCTTTCTGGTACTACTCTCGTCTTGCTCCTTTAGTTCATGTACATGCTGGCTAGCCTGCTCACTAAGAGCAAAAAATATCATATAATTTTTATCATGTTGACAGATCAAGATTGTCTGAGTAACCAATGGAGTCTCCATTGTTTTCCCTGTCTTTTCTAATAAAGAAAGAGGCACCACCCCAAAATTGCCTGCCTGTACCACACCACAGCATTTTATAGCACCAGCATCTTCCATTCCTAATCCCTTTTTTGTGTGCAGTTATGTGCTTCAGTCCATTGAAGTCAGGAAGAGACTTCCCTCGAATTAAACTGGGATTTAACTCATGTATGAGATTATGATCTGCGTCCAGACCAGCTTTGGAAATAGAAATCCACCATCACTTTTATTATGCAGTAAAGATCTGATTGCAGCTGTGTGCAGGGCTGGGTCAGAGACTTTTAGGTTGTGTTCTCTGGATTTAAGACACTAGTATAGCTTTGACAGAGGCTAGGCTATGAGATTTTGTTTAGACCCACTTTCTGTGAGAAGAGTGGTGCAGTGCCCAGCCAGGTGGCTCAGAGGTTATGGATCCTCCCGCCTGAGTGTACTCACACTCACTGATTGGCAAATATTGCCTTACAGCACTTTCAACGTTGTTCTTTAGTTCTTTTGTATTTATTTATAAAAGAGGTATGCTCCGTGAACCTTTGCCTTGCTCACCTCAGCTCTCTACAGTTATGTTTCAGCATATGACAGCAGAGCTGGCTTAACAACAGGGGCACCAGATGTGCGCTGTTTTCCATCACACCGGCAGCTCTGGAGCTCGCTGTGTCTGTGCTACAGAGACCTTTATGCAGGCACAGCACAGCTGGTGCAGAGCTACTGCTCAGCACATGCTCAGCAGGACGAGCACTGACCTCCTGCCTGCTGGCAGCAGGCTCTCCCGCCTCCTTCAAATTGCTGACGAAAGCCTACTGAGTCACAGGATCAGAGAACAGTTGAGGCATCTCTGGGCACTGGCTAGTCCAGCCCCTCTGCTTAAAGCAAGGTCAGCTAAAGCCGGTTGCCCAGCGCCATGCCCAGACAACTTTTGAGTATCTCCGAGGATGGAGACTCCACCACCTCTCTGGGCAACCTGTGGCAGTGTCAGCCACCCTCACAGTAAAGTGTTTCCTGATGTTCAGAGGGAAGCTCCCGTGTTTCACCTTGTGGCCATTGCCCCTGGTCCTGTCACTGGGCACCACTGAAAAGAGCCTGGCTCTGTCCTCTTTGCACCTTCCCTTCAGGTATTTATATACGTTGATGAGATCCCCCCAATCCTTCTCTTCTCCAGACCAAGCAGCCCCAGCACCGTGCCGAGAGTTTTCCCACCAGCACTCTCCTTCTGTCCTTCATGCCTTCCCTCGAAGCAGGCACGAGGCTTACTTCTGGCTACATGACAGCCACGTGCCAACTTTCCACAGCTGGTACAAGCGGTGGTTTATACTGACAGCTGGTCATGTTGTGCCAAGTGCGGTTTTGGATGTTATCCATGTGAGGCGGCTATGTGTTGCACTTACCAGGAGGATCAATTACCAATGGCACCGGGTTCAAATTTTTCCACTGCTGTAGGGGGAAGATGTGAAGCAGGAGAAGGATCAGACCATAGCTGGTATTTGTAAATAAATACCTTGTTTCTTTGAAGCAGCAGAATACAAATTCTTACTGGGAATGCTTAGGCAGAAGCAATGCTCAGAGTCATTATCTGGGTATTGTTTTTTTCTTTAAATTGCGTCTGTTAAAGTCTCTTACCTCAAAGACTGACAACTTCACTATTTGAATGTGAAAAAACATTTGAATAGATTTGAATTTTTCATTTGTAATACACTTTCTCTCTATTTTTAGTAATATCCTTTCAGAAGCTCCGAAGAGAGAGTCACTTTCTGTTTGCCACATAATGATTTTTCTATTCCACTTGCTTTGTTAGGGAGTACAAGCCGCACTTTTACAGAAGCACTATTTATTAACAAAATTAAGGAGGTCAGTTTTGGCAGATAGTTTGTTTTTACTCCCTTGGTCACCACATTATCTCTAGGATAATAAATAAAATATTGCTGACCTTAAACAAGTAGCAGATGATTTTTAAAGTTTAAGAAATTGTATTTATTTACTCTTTTTTTTTTAAAACAGTCAAACCTTTATGAACCTGTTCCTACTGAAACTCTGATGGCACTATTACTGGTTGTGTTTTGTCTTGGCTACCTGTTAAAAAAAATAAGGAATCTGTAGCTGATTAATACCATAATATAGTAAAAGTATTAGTAAAATGTCCAGAATAGGAAATTACATCACCACATTTCTAAACACACGTTTTTACAAACTGAGGGCAGGTACCTGGTGTAGGGTGTTTCTGAGGGCACATCTACACTGATAATTTACCTTAGACTTCACTTAAGATGTGGTATGAAATCCCCCACCAGATCTACTTGCCTTGTACTCTTTCACATCGCAAAGTCGTTTTGGTAGTGGAGAACCGCTTATGTTGATTATGTTGCACATTCATTATAATGCATGTGTCATAGGAGATTGGTGGGCCTCTCAGCTCTTCAGCTGAATCCTTTTTAAAATGCATGGTTTCATTAGAAAGAAGGTATTTAAAAAAAGCGTTAGCAGTTTGGTAATGAACAGCACTTTCACTGTTCATTTTTTTTCCACAAAGAATGTTTTGTAGGGCTTTTTAACCGACATGATTTCACTGGCCATCCCTTTCTGACAGGGCTCGTTTCCTTATCAATTCAAGAGCCTAGTGGCAAAGACCCTCTCTGTTATCCATCACAGATCCTACCACAAGGAGGAGTGCCAAAACCGGACCCACAGCTCGCAACCGCTACGCTAGTCAGTGGACCCTCAACAGACCTCACCCCACCATATCAGCTCATACCCTCACCACAGACTGGAGGCTGCCCACCCCCAGGCCAGCGGGATCGGTGGACAAGGAAAGCGATAGCTACAGCGTCAGCCCCTCGCAGGACACAGGTACGAGGCGCTCTGCAGGGCTGCGCTGTGCAAACGGGACAGCAGTAGCTGCAGCAACCTTCTTGGTCCTTGATGCACTTCATTTGGTGCTTAGGTGTCATTATTTTTTCCTTGCTAGCGTGTTTTTCTGTAGGCTGTTTATAAGGGGTGCCACAAATGCATATAGTGCTAATAATAAGAGATATTATGCCCCTGGTTTCTCATGCCACACATACATACTGGAGTCCTTTGAAAGATGTGGCGGTAATTTTTCCTGTAGCTGAAGTGCCGTACTTCGTGTATCTGAAAGAAAAAGGGGAGAATTTGCCGCATGAAATGGCATTGACCAGGAAGGGGCAGTATTAGCAACCAAGAATAGGCCTGAGTCATAGGTGGAATGGTTTTAAGGTTTGAGCTACACTGAGGTTAGTATTTTCCTTTTCCCATTCATGTAGTATGTTCATAGGGTTTATTCTAAGTGGAAAAATTGAGAGGGAAAAATCTGGAATTAGAGTCCAAGTCAAAATCCATTCATATCACTGAATATTACAGCAGCTAGCCCTGATTTTCCTGAGAAACAAAATAGGTTTTATTCCTCTATATATGATAAATGGGGAGAAACTGAATACATACTCTGCCTGCAGTCTTCATCTCTTCTTGATGTCTTCACATTATAAATGCAATTGTAACTGAAAAAAAAAGCTTTCTTCTCTGCCCTACACTGAACAAGTGATCAAAAAAAAGGCAAATAAATGAGTAAATGATTAAGCAGAAGAATAGTCACAAAGCAAATCTAGTAAAGGTTAAATATGAAGAAAGGTAAAATACTATTCAAAGGTATTCCTGGCAGAAGTGAATCCAGGCTTACTCTGGCCTCCTCAGAAGGAATTGCCTACCTTCCATCCTGATTTTAGAGGAAAAGTGTCTGTCACATGAAAAAGCTATGTGTTAGAGCTACAAAGAAGTAGGTGTGACTGGCCTTTCACCATGAAAACCAGTATGACTGTTTTTATTCTATAAGAACAAACATCTGACTTCCCTTACATCCAGTAATTTATAGGTTGGAGTTCTCATCCTTTCACAATTCATCCTCTTAAACTTGTAGACCCCTATATTGTCTCCATAGGGTAATGGCACTCAACAGATACCTCTAGCCAGCTGACAAACTTCATCCTGATTTTTTCAGGTAGAATTGTCATAAGGCTTTAAGGATTAACTCTAATAGTTATACAGGTACAAATATAAATAGCAAATGTTATCTCAGAAACCCTTTTTGTAGATATTCCAGATTCCAGGTGCACTTACATGTGTTCCAACATTTTGTCACCCAAGGATATTTTCCAATGGGTGTGGCAAAGGGCAGAGAATTCAATTTGCTGTGTGGTTTAATAGACAAACTACATGCAGTTTTGTAAACAGACTTCATAATCTATATTTTAACATGGATACTTTCCTACTCTGTGTCTACCCTTGAACACACAGTGATTTATGTAAGGGATAGCAAGCTTTACATCATGCTCAAGAAAGGTTTTCTTGTGCCAAAATGTAGCTCTATTATGACACTCGGTTTCTCAGGAAAGAATAGAGTCACTTTAATCTAAGTACTTCAGAAGTTTAAAATTTCCAAACAAACACTATAATAGATGTAGCCAAAGTCTGTGTTCAAGACTCAATTGAACTAATGTGCACATTTGATCACTTTTCCAACATGGAGTTCAGATTTCTGAATCTAGTTGATTCAGTTGATATTTGGCAGAATTTAGCACTTTCATCAAAACAATTGTAGGTTTAAAAGCTGTAGCTTTTAAGTTTAGGAGAAATGTATTGCAGCAGTTCATAGCTGTAACTAAGTTCTAATGTTCTAACTAGAGGCTATTAGAAATTTTCTGTGAATCTAGGTTTCATGAAGCTCACCCTGGGCTTGATGATTTGATGAACTTTCATCAAATCTAAAGTAGGTGTTCAAGCAGATTCCTCCTGGAATAGTCTCCCCAGTGCATGGGATATAGGAAGCTGCACGTCCTGAGCTTCATGGACCAAACTGGGACCTTTGCATGACCATCATTTTTACAGACACTGCTCTATGGCACGGGGCAACTGCAACCTTCCAGGAGTTTCCAGTTGATCAGAAAGTTGGAAAGACATTATTTTGGTGTGATTTACGAATCAAATGTGAAAAACAGGATGATGTTTCCTGGGGGGGGTGGGGGGGGGTGAAAGCCTTGTTTAAGTTCTGGCCAGCTCAAAATCTTAAGCAAGTTACAGCATATTGTAGAAGTACTTGTCATTTTAAATAATGCATGGTCCTATTTACAAGTGGCAGGAGTGTTGTTCTTTGTGCACAATGAAAACTGATGCAAGGATCCTAGCACACAATAAAAAAGATAAAGATTTGCAATAACAACACAGCTGCCTCTGGCTGCTATATGAGTCCCATTTTTATGAATTAGTTTTTACATTGTGCTTGTTTATTGAACATCACCAACAATGTCTGAAATTGTACAGATCTTGTGATGAAACAGGACTTCTGCCCAAGGAACTTTTGAAAGTCCTCTGCTCTTCCAGCCCACTGAAGTAGAAGTGTGATGGGTGCAACAGACCAGTGATTTGTCCCTGCAGAAATGAGCGCTGCATTTCCAGAATGCTTTTTAATGTATCAGTAGCCATCTACATCTTCAATAATAGTGCTTGTTTAAGAAATATTGATATTCTCAGAAACTCATCAGCAGAAAAGAACAGCTTCTAGGTCATAACAGCCTGTGTGTCAAATACGAAGCCCCCATTAGCTTCAGCAGCATTGAAAAAAGCACCTGAATCACTGCACACTGGTAGCTACCAAACAATATTGCTTTCTTAAGACCTTTGTTCCATATGAAATGAGTTAGTATTTTACCTGGTGTCTAGAGAGACAATGTCTGAAAGACACTGCCTTTATATTTGACCTTTGTCCTTAGGGCTTTCTCAAAAAAAAGTTGTAAGATTGAAACAGGTACAGAAGGACTATCCTTTCTCACCTAGACATCGCCTCACAGAAATATTTCTGAGATGCATTAAAAAGATAATGTAAAGAAGTTGTTCCTCATTTTGCTAAATCTGTTTTGTGGGTTTCTAACATTTTGAAGTCATTTAACTTTTAGAGAAATGATCTTTTGTAAAAAAAAAAAAAGTAACCTTTTTCATGCATTAAAAGGTTATTTCTTCTAAACCATTAATTTAATGCTAAGCCAAAAAATGCTGCTAGCAGAATAAGACTTCACTTTAGATTATCTGTAATTATCAAGTAACCTTGATAATTTCAGGGGCTCTGCATTTTACTAAGAAATACTATCACGTTCATAGCTTTTTTTCCAAAAAGGATTGTGCAAATGTTTTCTTTCTCCCATTATTTATATTTCTGATGTTTAGATCGAGCAAGAAGCAGCATGGTCTCCACAGAAAGTGCCTCCTCAACATACGAAGAGCTAGCGAGAGCATATGAGCATGCAAAAATGGAAGAGCAGCTGAGACATGCCAAGTTCACCATTACAGAATGCTTCATATCAGACACATCGTCGGAGCAGCTCACGGCAGGGACTAATGACTACACAGACAGTCTGACCTCAAGCACGCCGTCAGAGTCGGGGATTTGCAGGTTTACCGCGTCCCCCCCCAAACCTCAGGATGGAGGGCGAGTGATGAACATGGCAGTTCCAAAGGCACATCGGCCAGGTGAGACACTAGAGGTAGCATTTTTGTCCCTGGGGTGAGCCTTTCACCCCATGCCTAGGCTGGTTAACAGGCGAGGATGTATCATAAAGAAGAAAGAAAGTGCACGATGTATCCTGTAACTACTTACAGAGATAATTGCTTTTTGTCCCAGCTAATATAACATTTGAGTATATTCTCCCATATATAGAGAAATGATGAACTTTTGGAAATGTAGGAACAGAAAGGGACTGTCTAGGCCATCAAATCCACTCCTCTACAGCTGCAGCTGTCAGGCAATAGTCCCTTCTGGGATAAGTAAGACCATATGGGAGTACATATGCCCACCTCCAACTCAAACCACCCACTAATAAAACATGTCTTACAGCAATACTTTGTGCTTGAGAGCAAAGGTTTGCTATCAGAATAGTTCATAAAGACAGATTGTAGATGTACTATCCCTTCTGCCTTGTAGCTTGTCGAAAGTGTAATAACCCTTCAGTGAGGTTTTTGAGCTGTTATACTCTCTCTTTGACATCTCCTAATATCAGACTAGGATTATCTAAAGGAGGGAGAATAAAAAATGGAGAAAATGAAGTCAGTGCGATAGCTCAAGGGATATGGAGCCTTCTACCCTCAGAGAAATTTAAACTCACTCCAACTTCTTACTGACTGAAGGTGCCTGAGGGATATCCATCTATGGGGCTCAATCAAATTTCCAGTTCACAAAGAATGCTGTTTCTAGTGATATCCTAGTGCACAATAGCATAGGTAGATTATTTGTGGTACTCTGAAATCAAACACATTATAAAATCTTCTCAGAAGATTTGTCAGTCTTTGTTAAAGAATACATGATGTGAGGAGGATTCAAATGGGAAAAAGGCATAATTATATCTGTGCTTTCTGAAAACATGATTTTTTTATTTTATTTTATTTTATTTT